GGTTTTGGGGTTTGAGGGAGGATTTTGGGGGAATTTCAGAGAGGTTTTGGGGGTTTTGAGGAAAGATTTTGGAGGGAATTTCAGTGGGGTTTTGGAGTTTGAGGGAGGATTTTGGGCAGGTTTTGGGGGATTTGAGGGAGGATTTTGGGGGGGTTTTGAGGAAGGATTTGGGGGGGTTTTGAGGAAGGATTTGGGGGTTTCGGGGTCCCCCCAGGGTCGCCGTGCCTGAGCTTTGACGTGGTGCGGGACGGGCTGGGGGACGGGCGGGAGGAGCCGCCGCTCTCGGTGCTGCTCTGCGCCGGCACCCAGGCCGAGACCCCCAGCGCAAACCGGTGAGAGACCCCCGGCCCTTGGGGGGGTTTTTGGGGTGTTTCTAGGGGAGTTTTGGGTGGGTTTTGGGATGTTTTTGGGCTGGGTTTGGGGATGGTTTTGGGGTGGGTTTGGGGGTGTTTTTAGGGTGGGTTTGGGGTGGGTTTTGGGATGGTTTTCGGGGTGTTTTTCAGGTGTTTCTGGGGTGGGTTTTGGGATGATTTTTGGGTGGGTTTTGGGATGTTTTTGGGCTGGGTTTAGGTTGGGTTTGGGGATGGATTTGGGGTGTTTTTTGGAGGGGTTTTGGGGTGGGTTTGGGGGTGTTTTTAGGGTGGGTTTTGGGGTGGTTTTGGGATGGTTTTTGGGTGGGCTTGGGGTGGGTTTTGGGATGATTTTTGGGTGGGTTTTGGGATGTTTTTGGGGTGGGTTTAGGTTGGGTTTGGGGATGGTTTTCGGGGTGTTTTTTGGAGGGGTTTTGGGGTGGGTTTGGGGTGGGTTTTGGGATGGTTTTCGGGGTGTTTTTCAGGTGTTTTTGGGGTGGTTTTGGGATGATTTTTGGGTGGGTTTTGGGATGGTTTTGGGTTGGTTTTGGGGTGAGGTTTGGAATGGTTTTGGGGTTGGTTTTGGGGTGTTTTTTGGAGGGGCTTGGGTTGGGTTTTGGGATGGTTTTGGGGTTGTTTTTAAGGGAGGGTTTTGGGATGTTTTTATGGTGGGTTCTGGGGTGTTTTTAGGGTGTTTTTTGGGTGTGTTTTGGATGTTTTTGGGGCGTCCCAGCCCTGATTTGGGGTGTCCCCCCCCTCGTTTCAGGGTGCTGCTGCTGCAGATGCAGAACCTGCACGGGCTGCGGGGCAGGAGGGGCAGTGACAGCGACAGTGACAGTGACAGCGAGGAAGAGGAGGAGGAGGAGGAGGGACGGGAGCCGCAGCTGCTGCTCCTCATGGCCCCCCACTACGGGGGGATCAACAGGCTGAGGGTAAGGACCCCCCAAAAACAGCCCCCCCGAAAAAACCCACCTGGGTACCCCAAAAATTCACCCTAAAACCCAAAAAACGCACCTGGGAACCCCAAAAAAAGCTCAAAAATCAACCCTGGGAAACCCAAAAATCCACCCTAAAACCACAAAAACCCACCTGGGAATCCCAAAAATCCACCCAAAAACCCACCTGGGAACCCCAAAAATCAACCCCGGGAACCCCAAAAATCCACCCTAAAACCCCCAAAACCCACCTGGGAACCCCAAAAAAGCTCAAGAATCAACCCTGGGAACCCCAAAAATCCACCCTGAAACCACAAAACCTCATCTGGGAACCCCAAAAAAACCCACCTGGGAACCCCAAAAATCCACCCTAAAACCCAAAAAAACGCACCTGGAAACCCAAAAAAAGCTCAAGAATCAACTCTGGGAACCCCAAAAATCCACCCTAAAACCCCCAAAACCCACCTGGGAACCCCAAAAAAAGCTCAAGAATCAACCCTGGGAACCCCAAAAATCCACCCTAAAACCCAAAAAAACGCACCTGGAAACCCAAAAAAAGCTCAAGAATCAACTCTGGGAACCCCAAAGATCCACCCTGAGACCCCAAAAACCCACCTGGAAACCCAAAAAAATACCAAAAATTAACCCTGGGAACTCTGAAAAGCTTCTGGGAACCCAAAAACCCACCCTGGGACCCCCAAAAAACCCTACAGACCTCCCAAAACACCCCCTGGGACCCCCCAAAAACTTTTTGGGATTCTCCATATAACCCTGGGAGCACCACTCAAATTACTCTGGGACCCCTCAAAATTTATCTGGGAACCTCAAAAAAATCCTTAAACGTCCAATTAACCCTCAAGACCCCCCAAAAAACCTTGGGCTGCTCTGAGACCCCCATCTTTGCTCCCCCACCAAACCCTCTGGGACCCCCATAGAAACCCCTGGGACCCCCAAATCTCCCCCTGAGTCCCTCCCAGGACCCTCTGGGATCCCCCAAAGCTCTCTGAGACCCTCCCAGGGCTCCCCAAATCAACCTAGGACCCCCCAAAACCCCCTCAAATCCCCTCTGGGTGCCCCCAGATCCCTCCCTCAGCCCCTTTTGGGGGTCCCTGACCCCCCGTTCCCGTGTCCCCCCACAGGTGACGTCCCTCGGGGGGTCCCCGATCGCGGCCGTGTGGTCGGAGCGGGGCCAGGTGGAGGTGCTGGCCCTGGAGGGGGCCCTGGGGGTCCTGGGGACGCAATTTGGGGAGGGGGATTCGGGCAGGGGGCCCAAGAGCGTCCAGCAGGGAGCACTGCCCGCCCTGGCCACCTTCAGCGGCCACCTGGACGAAGGCTT